GGTTGCCCCGCGGCGGCGCGCTCCCAGCACCAGCGGCAGCCGTCGTTCCCCAAAACAGAGCCACTGAGCTACTGAGGAAAGAAAAGGAGCCAGGAGTATCCGTGAAGTTCAGGTGAAGGAGCAACTCCTGTCGGTTTTGTTTCTACACTGTCCAGGACAGATAAGCACAGGCGCAGGCTGAGGACTGGCGGACCTTCAGGAGCCTCCGCAACCTGCGCAACCAGGAAACCGATCTGCTCCCCTGCTCAGCCCGTTTGGGATTTAACCTGCAATTCCCTGTTGAATGCTTCTGCTAAGAACAGGTCGGTGGATGGCAGACCGACACAGGGTCAAGTGAGTTTACTGTTAAGCAGGAACAAATTTCACAGTTTATTTTTTGGAACAGAAGGCTGTAACACCAGAACAGCAGATCCCAGGTTGAAGGATGGAGAAAGTGAAGATACCATCTCCTAATAAGGCTACTGTTCAAGTAACCAGGCATCTCTAGAGGAAAGCATACTACACCTGCGTCACACGCAGCCTAGTAGTATCTAGTACTCACAAGCAGAGACCATTGTAGGCCTTCAAAAGCACCTAATTTCTTTTCCTATAAAAAGCCCAGCATCTGCTTAAGAAAATCCAAGTACACCCCCAGTTCCACCTCACTTCTCATTGTGAGCTCAGCCAAGGGGGCTACAGAAATTTCCTGTCCTTCAAGAGCGCTGAAAGTGCCATAACTCCTACAATTTGACCTGGATTCAATTAACAAGCAAATTCCACTGAACAAACAGGTGGGTCTCAGGAAGTCTGGAGAGTATGTTTCAGTTATGTAATATATTAAAACTCCCAACATTTACTATTGCATAGAAAGCGAACGAAAATGTCCAAGACCAAAAAAAAAAAAATCTATTTAATACCTACACGCATTTTTAGTTTAACGACTCCGAGTAACGCAATAAACTCACAGTAAGAAAACTGAAAATAAGAACTCTTAGGGACAGACAGTGCGGGGGGAATAAATTAAACTGTCGTCTTCTGCTGGGTGCTTTTGTACAGAGGGACTCTTAGGAGAGCTAGGATACTTGAAACATTGGTTTATACATATCAGACGCGATGTTCAAATGTAGGATTCGTAGCAATTCAAAGCCAACATGAGATTACATCTCAAACACATCTTTCAATTACAGTTCTCTACTCTCCCTCCTTCCCATCATTCCCTTCCCAGGAAATAACAATTCTGGGGCAATATCAACATGCCTTCACAAATTTAGCCATTGTTTTACAATCTCAGAACTTTAACACAAAAGTTTTGCGCACAGAAAATAACTGAGGCCTAAAAGGCAAGGAAAAATGTGTAGGGAGAACTTTCAAAGGAAGCAGCTGAAAAAAACCTCTACAGAGGCTCCCAGGCGGCTCACAAAGGAAACCATGCTCATGAGCATAGACGGCAATACTGCAAAACATGCAAACAGCCAGTTTGGATGAGTAAGCTGTAGCAGCATCCCAGTTATGCATGGGAAAGCATGCTTTTTTTTTTTTTTCATGGGTATTTTTTCATATTCAGCATCTCTGTCACGTGCTGCTTTCTGGAAGCTCCCGAGCGTACCTTGCCATGGGTACCACCGAAGGCATGCAGAGCCAGGCCCTAGTTGGAGCGTGCCAAAGGCTCATAGCTACACGTTTTAGGGTGGGAAGAATCATTCTCCAGAGGTGCCTCTCTCCCCTCCGTGATGACAGATGGCTGATGACTGACTTAAACTAGCACACTAACTGATAAAATACTTTTAATTACACCCATCCTTAGAAACAGCCTCAAGGCTCACAGAGGGGAAAAAAAAATCAAAACCATTAATCACCGGAGTCATCTGTCCACAAAGAGAATTACTGTTTCTGGAAGAAGCCTGCAGAAAACAGGAGGTCCGAAGCGACGATGTGATGGATAAGGTGTCGGCCAACAGCGCCCGCGTAACTAAACCAAAAGAACATTACTTCGGGAGAAACAACCCGTGTTGGTGCGAAGCCCTTGGCTAGAGCTGTGCGGAGGCAGGCTTGCCGAACAGACCCAGGACCGGGTCCAGGGCCCGCGCGGCCCCTCCAGCATCAGACAACTCTGCACAAAAGAGAACATGAATTATGGGCCGGGGCAGGAGCGGGGCAAGGACAAGGGGCGCCTCTGCCGACAGCCCGACCACCCACTGCCCCACCGCCGGTGGGGCGCAGGGGCCTGGGGGGCAATGCCCCTCCACGGCGTCTAGCACTGAGCTTGCATCGTGCTGTTCTCCTTGGTGAATGCTTCCCAGGGACAGAGAAGCACAGGATTAACTTAGCATTCGGCTTTAGTTTCAACTGGCTTGTGACGCGACCTGCAAACCGTAATCCCGACGCCAAGGCGTTCAAAGCAAATATAAAGCATAGACGTATAGCTTTCAAGACAGCTCCCACCCCAGACACCTGCACGTCCTTCAGCCGAAGGATTCACCGGGCTGGCTGCCGCTCCCCAAAACCCCGAGCGCGGCGCGAGTCTCCCCCGCTTCAGCTGGACGCAGGGAAAAGTCAGGGGACCTGAAACAACATCCTACGGCCGGGGAGTCAGCGCCGCCTCCGGAGCATCTTTCGGCCTGTCCTGTCCTGCCCCGGGCGCACCACGAGTCTGGGGCTCCACGTTAACCCTCATTTATACGTAACGGCGAAATGAAGACGGAGGCCAGCCGCGCTCTTTAACGCTCATTGGAAAGACAGCAGAAATGGCAAATGTCTTGAAAACAGACCATCGGATTCTTAGATGAATTAAATTTAGAAGTGTCATTAAAATTATTAATAACTTTTCTTGTATCTCCATATTCTACAAAATCATATTCACCGCTGCACGAAATGGAGAAGAAGCCAGATGAAATTGCTGAAGTCTTCTACATGGAGATACAGATTTACACTCAGGGTGTGAGTTTAGTCATTGATTCCTTAACCATGTATTGAAAGAAAAACGTTAGCCTGTCTGAGCATATATGGCTTATTTACAGGAAGGACTATCCTTCTCATCTGCAAACCCAACTTTTGGCTAAATGTAATATAGAGAAGATATAATCTGTGTAAATACTCTAGTTTATTCTGCCTTCTTTTTTCTTTTTCAGTTCCAAACCATTTACAGGGGATATACACTTATTTTTAGAAACATGTCCTCTTGAAAAATAAAACGTGACAGGTAAAATGCTGACAATACAGTTATATGCTTTCTCCTTCATGGCCAAGATGACAATAAATCAAAGTACACTAAACATTTTAACTAGTCAACATTTCCTTACGTTGATATCAGTGATGAATACAGTATGTGCCTAGAATGACCTCCCTCAAGAATCCAGTTATTGCAATGCAAAGAAAATTAGAGCAAAATATACTCCACCTATCCAAAGTCAAATAACAAAATAATTCACAAAAACGTAGCTAAGCAAGATTATTTACCATAATTTCATTCCAATTTTGTTAACCAATTATTACAAGTATATTAAGAGCTATCTTTTGTGCATTTAGTTTTAAAGTTTAAGCTTTCCAAAATGAGTACGTGTGGGAAAAAACCCACAGAATATTATTTCCTGAAATTTTAAATGAATTCATCCCTCATGCAGACTGTGCTGATGACTTCTAGGTCATTAGTATCAAGGATTAACCTAGCCCACTACATGTGAAACTGTAGCTAAGAACAGGTTTTTATCTTTCCACATTCAGTAACTGAATGCCTTGGAAAGCCACCTAATGAGGTTTTACCATTGTTTTACAATTTTTCATTATTTCATTTACTATTGTTTTACATCATTGAAAGTTTCAGTTAGTAACATGTTATTTACTGAAATAAGGTTTTTAATGGAAGTCAGTAGTTTAGTAAGGTTTGTCCTTCATGTACATCAGGGAATTTACAGCAGAAAATTTGGTGCAAGCTGGTTGCTGCCTGACGTCAAGCATTCAGAAAACCCTCTGCCAACGGGCGGTGAGGCAAGGGGGAAACTAAAACGCCTTTTTTATCTCCGACCTGTTTCTTCAGATAACAAACCTTGAACACTTCCCTAAACTTTTTCAATAGTTCTCTAAAGAGAAGGGAAATACATGTTTATTTAGATGTTTCCTGCACTCATCTTTTCCTCTAAACCTGTAAAATGCATAGGCGATACCTATTCAGAGAGAGTCTTCAAAGTACCCAAGAAAAAAAACATCTTATTGGTCTAAATTAGGAATTATACTAGTGAGGATTTTATTAAATGATATTATTAAATGATGCAGGTTCAGAAGAAGAAGAAGAAGAAGAAAAGCACTACATCAAGCGAACATTTAATGTAATGGAGACATATTCATACCCAGTATGAAGGCCACCACGTAGTTCGAGATCTGTCCCATCCCCACTATGAGAAACAGCACTGTGAACATCTCCCAGCTGGTAGAGAAGATCTGCAGGAAACTGAAGCCGGTCTGCACAGCCATAGTGGAGAAAAGGATACTCTTCCTGCCAAACCTTTCGCAAAAGACAAAGGAGAACATTAGTAAGAGATTATTTATGTATGGAGCTGGGCTACAGACAAGAGAGGGAGCACAAACATCCAGTCATAAGCTTCACAGCTTAGCACAGCTTTGAGTTTGGTGGCACATCGTTTTCATAAGTATGAAAAAAAGCAAAATTTGCAGGACCCAGGGAGGAAACCAAGATAAGAAATTAAGGGCAGAAACTTCAGGGAGCCACTAGACAGGGACCAGGGAGACGAGAGAACTGCACGTAAGTGAGAGAAACAGTAAGCCTGCAAGCCACACAGTCAAAAGTTAGGAAATGATGGAAACGTAGAGATGCCAGCAGCTATACGTTATGATAACATTACAGTTTTTCAGAGTTAAATAGCTTTTTGAACTGCTTTCAATCTTTCTGATGTGACTTGCCATAAATAGATCCTCCTCCACTTGTCCGTATTGGAATTATCGAGGTTCCTGCAGCAGCAGCAGGGAAATCGTTCAGTTACAGGCTTAGAACAGACCCTTTACTGCCAGAATGCTTCCCAAAAAAATCAGCTCATAGCTAGTACTGAAAAATCATATTAGGGGCCCGGCGGCAGCAGGGCAAGTGAACCTGCCCGGCAGCGAAAGTATGCGTGCATCAAGCAGCTTCTCAGATGTTCCCGATAGGCAAATGGCACCAGAGAGATTTAGAGATTATCTCGTCTCCCTTTCAAACAGTAACACTGACTGACTTTTGCACCGGGATCAGAAGGCATCAGATTAAATTCAGATCACGTGGAATTTAATACTTGAGGCTTTAAGATTAAAGCTCACATCAGGTTTCCAAAACCCTACACGGAACCTCTCAAGAAGCTGATTCTTACGTAACTCTTAGGGCGGTCCTCACTAAAAGGGAGCAATCAGGGCTGCGTTTGGGACCCCACTCTAACAACATGGCAGCAGAGGCTACGAGGGCAGCAGAGACTCAGCCCGGGAATGTATATGCTGCATTTGGCACTTGTAAGGCCAAAGCTTAAATACTGCCGAGATAATTGCCAAATGTCTGTAATGTTTTCTTGATATTTTATGTCCATTAGTATCACTTTATTGCTATCCGTTTACAGGCCATCGTTTTTTCTTAGTATTGGATATGCTTAGTTTTTCTCCATCAAACCATCCTTTCTATGCAGAGCTTCCTTCCGCTTAAGGGAAAAGGTTTTTCTTCCTGTCTTACAGCTCCTAAAATGAATTGTCAGTTAACGCGTGTTGAAGAGTTAACATCCTTATTAGAAAGGACGGCTACAGAAACGAACTTTGCTGCGAACAGCGCCGCATCAACCTACAAAGCAGACCTGCGCATTCGTTGCAGGGGTCAGTCTGACGCGCGCGAGCGGCCGTAACGCTACGTGTGCCGTAGAGCGGGCCTGGGGCTTTGCAAAGAAACAAAGTCGGTTATGCAATTTTGAGTGAGAGCGAGAAGACCTGGGCATTTAGCTCCCTTCTGCCTCTTCAAAAAGTCACCAGTTCCGACTTTTCCCTGGGCGTACACATCAGGCAAGGGGTAGCAGAGAGTCTCAACCCTGGTCTCTCGAGAAGCAAGTCTAGAAGCGGTGGCTTTACCTGTCGGAGAGCTGCCCCGAGACGAAGGAGCCGAGGAGCACCCCCACGAAGAACAAGGAGGTGGTGAGCGGCGCTTTCCAGTCGTCCTCGCACACCAGGTTCCACTGCGAGAGAAGCGGAGCAGACTGAGACCACGAGGCCGCGCGGCGTTCGGACAAAAAAGCCATTACTGAGCAAGGAGGCCAGGCGCTTAGCGACTGCGTGGGTCTGAGCCCACCCGGGTTTCAGCATCGCTCGGGCTCGCGTCGCCGCGCTCGCCTTTCTGCCCGTCTCCGGCCACTCGGACTGCCT